GGGTACTGGAACTCACTATCGGCAGAGGTGGTCTCCGCCTCAACTGTTGAAAGCTTCAAGAAGAGGCTAGACAGCCACGCAGAGACTCACGGTCTACCCACATATAGATGGAACACGAAGTGAGGTCAAGCCACCCCAACCTGTTTTCTTTCTATAGTAACCATCTAAGCCCTTTTCACCCCTTCCACTTGCCATAGGTTAGCTTCACTTACCTAAGTTCTTCACATCTTTGCGCCCCCACCCACCTTACTCGGGCGTATGTAGATTACTCCGTTAGTTCAGTTTTCTTCTCTTTTACTCAAACTTCAAACTTCGTGTTGTAGAATTAGTGAACTGCGGTTCCTTGGGTTCTACTTCTGTCTTATTGGAATACGTTCTGAGTTTGGAATGGTCACAATTATCTTCCCGGCCCTGAAAAACCTAGAAGGATGGAGATATGATTAATAAATTAATCCGGTCTCAGGTTAGTATCACTGAATCTGATCTGGGGAAAGCTTCTCGAGTACAGCCAATCGGTACCGTAGGACTCGAGGTGTGCGTCTAGCCTCCTTTTGAAGGTATCAGGGGATGGGGCTATAGCAACTGCTGGAGGGAAAGAATTCCACAGTTTACAGACTCTAACTGCAGATGAGTTAGCACTGATCTTTGTACTTTCCCTTTCATGCTCTATTCTTAACGGGCGACCCCTCGGGTCGCGTTTCGGACTAAAGCTTAGAGGGGATCTGTTGTAATGGAGAGAATTATGGGCAATGTGATACATCATGGTCATATCCCATCCGATCCTCCGGTATTGTACTGGGTGCAGCTGAAGAGCAACTAAGCGGTCCGGGTATGGTTTGTGCCGTAACCCAATCACCTTCCTTGTGGCTCTTATCTGTACCCGTTCTAGGATGGCAATGTCCTTCTTCAAGTATGGGGACATTACAAGCAAATTTTTTTAAATGAGGACGAATGTACAGAGCATACACCGCAGTGAAAAGAGAAGGAGTTAGACACCCTAAGGTTAGCGAGAGAAACCCCAGGATTCCATAAGCCCAATTGGCTGCAAAGCTGCAGTGAACAGAGGCTCCTAGTGTATCATTTGGTGCGACTCCCAGATCTTGTTCCATGTTAGAGTGACAGATATTTATTTCGCCCGGAAAGTAAGAACTGGAACTGCCTTTATGTTTGTCAACTATCATAATTCGACACTTCTTCGAGTCGAGAGGAAGCAGGTTTTCTGTAGTCCACTTAAGGATTTTCCTAAGGTCTTCCTGGAAGATCGAGATATCCGTTGGTTCCTGTATTTCCCTCCAAATCTTCAGATCACTGGCATATGACAGTGAGTGTGACAAAAGCAAGAAACAGTAGTGGGCCTAGTATGGAACCTTGAGGCACACCGCTCAGCATCGGGAACCAATTAGATAGAGAGGGGCCAACAATGACTGCACCCTGGTGTACAGATAATCTCCAAGCCAGATTAATAACTTCATGTACACCTATGAGCTAGAGTTTCTTACAAAGGATATCATGATTTACCCTGTCAAAGGCCTTAGAAAAGTCAAGTAAACCAATGTGTAGAGGCTTTTTCTTCTCGACAGAGTGTCCGGCTATTCCGAGCTATCAACAGGTTGGTGTTACATGACCTTCCTGGTAGAAAGCCATGCTGACAGCCGTTTAGGATTGGTTTCTGAAGTAAGTGAACACGAAGTGAGTCATTTGTGACTCTCTCCATGACCTTCGTAACTGAAGAGATCAGGAAGATTGGTCTGTAGTTGGAGGCTAGCAGCTTGTTTTCACCTTTATAAATTGGGACGACAGCCACCCGTTTCCAATCAGAGGGTAACCTGCCTTCCAGAAACGAGCATTTGAAGAGGTTTGCTAGTAGGGCACACAGAACTTCAGCACATTCTTTGAGTTCTCTTGGGTGAATCTCATCGAGTCCCGGAGACTTATTGGGGTTCAGTTTCTTTGACACCTCCATAATTACAGAGGGTTTAAACTCCGTATGGTTTAGTCCCTCTGCAATACGGGTGTCCGACAGATGCGCGGTATTGCCTCCCAAATGACAGAAGTTGTTTTGGAATTCATGAGATAGTAGGCTTGCAACTTCGGATTTGGAATATAGAATCTCCAAACTAATGGGGTCCTGTAAACTAAGTGAACTGTTACTCTTCTGTTTCATCAGCGAGTACAGTACCTCATGATTCCCCTCCAGGGTTCTACAAAGTTGTGTCTGGTGATTTATTCTGTCATTTCCGATCCTTACTGTACATTTGTTAAGGATTTCTTTATAATTTAGTCAGTCAAAAGGGCTATTTGTGCACCATTATAGATTCCAAGACGACCGTTTGCGCCGTATTAGTTTGCGTGTGCTCGACTTAAGCTAGGAGGAGTAGAACTTGTCTGTTCTTCTTGGGATCAAAGGAGTGTTGTCTTCTATCGTCTGTAGGATTATATTCTTCAACAGACCCCATATAGCATCAAGATCCAGTAGGTCATGGCAATTTAAGCAAGCGGAACCTTCTAGATCTTGCCGAACCTCCTCGAAATCAGCTCTCTTGTAATTCCTAACTGGAGGCTGATCGGGAACGGGTGGCTTAGATACAGAAATGTTGAAGGAAATAACTGCATGGTCACTCAGCCCAAAAGGGCTGAAAATATTTGAGTTGCTTACTTCAATGAACTGATTTGTTAAGATATAATGTAGTCGGGATGCCTTACCGTCAGGCCCCCAGCGAGTACACTGGGAAACATGTTCTGTCAAGGAGTTTTCCAGTAACAATTTTCGAAAGCTCTTTAGAGCAGTAGATGAACTTTCTGTGGTAAAGGGTTGAGGAAAGTTAAAGTCTCCCATGATAAGGGCCTATGGGAAGTTCATTTCAAGGGCTCCTTTAATGGACTGTATTGACATTTTATTTAGCGTGGCATCAGCTGCAGGAGGGCGGTATAAAACTCCAACTAAGCACGGACCTCCGCAGCACTTAACACTACACCAGGGGACATCTTCAATGCCAGTTCTATGATATTGAATCCTATGGACTTCTGAGAAAGGGCAGGCGTAAAGAGCAACGCCGCCCCCTGGACCCTCCGGTCTATCCTTTCAGATCAGGCTGAGCTGTCCTAAACGAACTTCCTCGTCTTTATGTTCTCTGATAGCCATGTTTCACAGAAAGCCCTTGTGCTAGGACTTTCCTCATCCACTAATAACCTTAACTCATGTACCTTGGAGCGTAGGCCTCGTACATTGCTGTAGGTACAGCAAATACGAGTATTGGGGTCGGAGGCCTTAGAAACCGGTTGAGTTAAGGGTGAGTTGCCAGCCTTTAAATGGCCGGCTTTGACAAGTTATTTGATGGGGCAATGGAGCCAAGGGCTACTGTATCCACTGATACCTTTGTCTGAGAACTGGTGCAGGGTTCTTCGATCTAGGACAAGGCCGACAGCAACTCTTGCTCATCATCCAGCCGTTCTATCGTTAGATGTGCGTTGGCCAACGTCAAGCGCTTGAATTGCCCCTCAGTCTGCCTTTGTTCCCTGGGTCTGCACTCGCTTATCTTTATTTCTCTAGGGAATGTATCAGAAACATTATACCAGGATTACAAAGTAGTTCTAATCATGTCCAGAGAGTCAAAGGTTACTTAGAGTAGCCTGGGAGTACGTATAGTCGAGAGGTGAGCCGGCCTTGGAAGACGATTAATTCTTTCGCCCCTCACATCGATTTGGAGTTTGCTGACAATATATCTCCACTGATTTATGTCGTGGACAAGTTCGACAGTATCGGTATTCGGAAATGCCGTGTATAAGTACCGAGCAGCATAATTCTTGAGAGTGAATCTTCCTGCTGTTGCGAAGAAGTTCTCGCACTGACCAGGGTCTATCGAGCCCAATCCTGACGTCAGACAGTTTACGTTTCACCAACTGATGACCTTTCAGAAGGATGTGTTCGGACTGACGTGTACTATCGAGAGATACTCTCAAAGGTCTAGGAGAGCCCTTGGGGGAGAACTTACCACGCGCTAACAATCGAAGAGATGGACCACAGGGAGAGATTCCTAGGAGTTTGCAAACACTCTTCCATCGGTCAAGGTCATGTTCTTCACTATCAGTCAATAGGGAGGAGCCACTTTCCTGAACGTTGGAGAGTGCTAGCGATCTAAGATTAAGGTTTGGAGCTTATCCCAACCCGCGAATACAGACTCAGATTTCTGACCAGCCTTTTGCGAATGACTCGGAAGACCTGAAGTGCCAGCTGTGGGAGTTTTCTTGATGATTGAAAGAGGCTGGTGGTGAGATGCAGGTGGCTTCCGCCCTGAGTTACAGGTGGTGGAATCATGAACTGCTTTTTTCGGAACCTTTTTCGCCTGAGTAGGGGGGAGGCAATGTCCACCTTATGGTTCGGTTCCTCATTAAGCTGAGTAGTCGTTATTTTGTCAGTCTTACGATCGTTACTTAATGTTCCATTTTTAACTGAACTGACCTGCCTACATTTGTTCAGACCTTTCTTTCGGCGCTTGTCGAGTGTGAGATTCTCTTTCATCACTGAGGGGATCTGTTCCAAAGGCATGCTAACGGGGAGAAAGTCCGTGACAGTGATGAATTCGCTACTTCGCTTACTGCTAACTCGAGGGATCCTTTTATGGCCATGAGACTTCTTTAGATTGTGGCTGGTTTGTATAGAGATCTCAGCTGTAAGGTGGTGGGAGTTCTGTCTCACTAGCTCTATGCCTACTTGGTACCTACTTTTGGACCTACAACATGGATAAAAATACCAATCACCATCAAAAGGGCTATCAAGCAGTGCTTCACAATAACCAGATGGCTGTCTGGAATCTCAGGAACAGTGAGTCCATTGAGAGCAAAGCTCACACCCCATCGCCTCAGCTGAGAAGCTGACATTTCTGCGACAAACCAAGCAGAAATCCTTTGAAACTGTCATTAGACTGTATAAATGGAAGGAAAATGTTTGTTCAAGGAGTTATGAACATCAACACGGTAAATATAACAAACTAATCAAAATTTGTCAAACCCCGCTGTCCTTTTTGAAAAGCGCATAAACACAAACACGTTCTAGGTTTTCTCTTCACTATCCCTAACCCTCTCTGGCGACCAGTCCGAACAACTGTCTGGAAACTCAACACCTGAAGAAGCCAACTGCACTACAGTGCAAGACAAACAAACCAAGACTTTACTCCCTTTTCTGTAAATCAGACCCATAGCAGACAAGTGGCTGGATCTACTGCATCGGAATCCGCCGAAGATCTGGAACTGTTCCGCAGGATCAAGAAGCGAGTGAGAAGAAATCAACTGGTTTACACAAGCTCGTTAAAAAGATACTGGATATATTGGATACTCGAAAATCGATTTTCGAGTTGTGCGCTACACCATGGTACATGCGAGTTTAAGCAGATGAGTTTTCGATTCAAAAGAAATGATAACAGAAATCCAGGGTGCATTCCTTTTTAGAGTCTACAGTTCTTGCATTACCTTTTAGGCGTAAGCGGTCTTTAGGTATCCATCGTATAATGAAGCTAATTTGGGCACACGTGTACATGGAGCACGACTTAAGTCATATATATATATATATATATATATATATATATATATATATATATATATATATATATATATATATATATAAAATACATTTGTTCATTCCATTTGTCTGCATTAATGCAGAATTCTTGTACCGTTTGTCCTTTTAACGATAAAAGTCACATACTTCGCATGAATATAGACTGCATGCACGTCCATGTTTGTTTGTTTAAGAACTGTAGAAGCTGTACTTTGGGACATTTGGGTGTTTCAGGGATAAAGTCTGGGATGACTTTGGAACTTTTGGAATTTTTGGGCAAAGCTTTGGGCGCAGTTGGCAAATTTCGGGCGCGAAGGTGAATTATTGACAGCAATCCCAAAATTTTTAGTGTCGTTTTTACCCAATAATTTCAAAGTGCGCTCAAAGCACTCGCCCTCTGGGTTTCCACTCTTTAATGGGGAGACTATTTCTCGCCAATATTTAAAGTAGAAGTGAAAAGAATTTACTGTAGACATAGTGGTAGTACTACAGTCTTGCCCTTCTTGAATGACAACAGAAACGATTTCCAAGCAACTTATCAATTTGAAGGTGACTGTGCGATCATTCTGGGGAGCTTTAAAGTATCAGACGGATTTTGCTAGTTATACAAAGAACTTTGCAAAATTTTCATGATGCTTTTGACTGAGAAGAAAGTAATTTCGCATACCTCCCCTCACTATTTGGTAGTTCTGAGGGTATTTTTTTTCTCGGGCCTGGATTTCCCATAGAGAACGAAATTATAAAAAAACGTTCACAGTGAACCACACTAAGGTGGTACGTTTCACCCTGAATAATAACCGGAACCTTTGTTCTCATTCTCTTAACCTAGCCATTTAGCTCCGAGTAAAACAAGTAGATTGTCCTTTCTGCTGAAAAGGGAACCTACTCGCTGTTTATTTTCTGCTCTACGACCCGACTTTCAAGTTACTGCTTTGAAATTTATTGACCTTTATTTAATATTCAGTGTCACGAGCCTAGTGTGTTCAAGCTTCCAAACTTTGATTCTTCAATATTTTTACAAGGGTTAGTAGAGTTTGCATCAGTCAGTCAGTCAATATCAACATAGGTCCAGGCATAACTGAGTAACGGTCCGAGTTGCCACACGTCATATCAGTACATCAAGTAGAAAGGTAGTGAGGTGAGGGATGAAGACAAGAGAATGCAGTCAAAAGAAACATTAAGTACGAGAAGAAAGGAAAGAGGAGTTAGCATAGGGTGCGAAACGATAATGTAGGACAATTCCTTTCAATCCTATTGAAACTTTTGACATCAAAATTGTGTGCAGGCCTTTCTATAATCGGCTAAATCCTTCCAGTTATTCAGAGCTTCCCTCAACTACCACATGGTCACCTTCGGCTTGGTAAGTCACTTCAAGGTCTTCTGGTAGTCTCAAGAAAAGGGAAATTTAATTGTTTTGCTCGGGTTTCTTGTCTATATTTCTTTTTTTGTGAGATGTGGGCATATGAAAATCCCTGTAGAATTAGCAGATAGTATTAGACGATTGTATGATAAATATCTTTTGATTCAGTTGAAATTATCATCGTCATGGTTGTGCATAGGCTTGTCTGTTGTCAGTGGCATTCTTTTAATAATTTAAAGCCTTCTGAAACCACCACATGGTCACCGTTATCGTGACTGATTACCTCAATTTTATTCGATAGTCGGCCGAGGACTGCAAAATCGTAATGTTCTACCTGTGCACTTAACAGTGCTACGATTGTATGATTCTAGGTAAAATCTTCGTGCTTCCAATTGTTTGATCATTTTATGCCATTAGCTAAGCATGTAAGGTTTTATAGGCGATTTGTCTTCATGAGTTATGGATAACAAGAAACTCGTTTGATTGCGTTCGTTTTACGGATGGACACTAATTCCCTAAACAGTAACACTACTATAAATAAATTGACAGTCATAATTAGTCGAATCTAGGTGTATCATGACACTTTGATTCCCTTAAATTATACGTGATTCAATCCTAAACTACCACATCAAAATTGCCTAGTCAATATATTCGTAAACTTTTGTTGGCAAGACAATAGGCTGTGAAAATACATGGTGCGTATATGCTGGCATGAATCGTACTACTTTTTATTATTTTTCCCCTGGGTTCCTAGTGAAACATAGAGCTTCAGTAGCACGCCTCCATTTCACTCTGTTCTCTGCAGTCGTTTCAACCTAGAGCCACGACTGCTGACAAGTTTTCATTTCTTCCTAACACCATCTTTCTCATGTCACCCTCGAACGCCCAGCTTGTCGTTTACTCTTTGCATTCCACTTGACGGACTGGCCTGGAGCGTGATGTCCCCAATCGCTCTTCTCAGTATATGGCCAATCTATATCCATTTACTTTTGCACATTCGTTGAGTGATAGGTTCTTGGTTGGTTCGTTGCTAGAGTTCTTTGTTGCTTACTCTTTCTGGCCATCTAATCTGTTCTTCGGTATCGGGCTAGCGTAGGAAGGTGTTGATGAATGTCTGTAGTTTGCTGGGAATGCTTTTCGTGACACGCCAAGTTTCTGAACCATATGGAAGCACTGACTTGACGTTGATGTTGAAAATCCGGATATTGTGCTGAGTGCAGATCTCCACACTGATTTCAGATTAGTGAAAGCCTGTCTTGCTGTCTTTCCGATCCTGGTTTTGACATCCTCGTCTGTGCCGCCTGTAGTTGAAACGATGCTGCCTAGGAAGGTGGGTGAGAGACCACTTCCTTTAGGTTACTCCCGTTGATGGTGATTGGTGTTTGTTGTTGATGCTGTTACTGGTTGGGTATCTTCATCACCTCTGTCTTCTCTATATTCACTTGAAGTCCCGTCTTCGCTGCCCTGCCTCTCCTCTCAACTTGTTAGTTTTCACCTGTAGGTCTTCGAGTTTGTGCGACAAGACATTAGACATAGATCATCATCGATGAGATCCAAGTCCATCTTCTCGCTCACGGTTTGCTGCATGATCCAGTCCACCACAATCAAGAATATCATGGGTGATAGGCAGCCTTGTTTCACTCCTGTCTTCGCTTTCACTCCAAAGGCATCACTGAGCTTCCCATTGTGAATTAGTTGGCCGGCATGTGGCGTCTTCATATAGTTGTTGAATGAGTTGATGAAGGTTTGTGGCAATAAAAGCGTAGTGTTGAAGCAGCTGCCTGCCAGATTACTTGTCGTTCGACGCTGTCGAAGGCCTCCTCAACATCGATGAAGTTGAGGTGAGGTAGAGAGTTGACTGACATTCTATACTCTGTTCTATGATGATGCGATGCGATGCGTAGCCTAGAGTTGCAATTTGGTCCACACACGATTTGTACTTCCTGAACTGAATCCAACCAGCCAGCCTGTTCGGGTGGTAGTTTTGAATCCAGTGCATCCTTTAGTCTCTCCAAGATGATGCGGCATAATATTTTGCTTGCTTTGGGTGGACAGGAGTGTGATTCCACACCAGTTCTTGCAAAGACTTAGGTCGTCCTTCTTCGGCAGTTTGACAAGGTAACCCTTCTTCCAATCAGTCGGCAGGTGCCTTCCCTTCCATCCACATCTTCTGCAATAGTGGTGTGGTGTGAGCATGTCCACTGTTGTCTCTGCGTCTGTTTTCAGTGCTTCTGGAGGGATTCCATCTGGTCCTGCTGCTTTCCCAAATCCCAGCAGTTTCATGGCATTCAGGACTTCTGCTTTTGTCGGAGGGCCTGTGTTTACTGGTAGTTGTGTCGTTGCTGGTGGTGTTTCCGGACGAGTTGTAGGTGGTAGTCGATTCAAGAGTTTTTTGAAGTGGTCATCCCATTGTTTCCTTTGTTTCTCCTCTTTTGTAGTTAGGTCCCCTTCACTATCATTGATTTCATCTGTGTTGATCTCTTCTCTCCCAGATAGTAACCTGGTTATTTGATACAATGTTATCTGGTTTCTGTCTCTCCTACCTGCAGCCTGTTCTGCTTCACTTGCAAGTGTGTCATGGAAGTATCTATTGTCTTTGCGCTCACTCTTCTTTACTTCTTTCTCCAGTGTTTTATACGTTGTACTCAGTTCTTCTTTTCGTTGTTTATCTTTGCTCTGGTTTAATCTTCTGCTTCACCATTCTCCTCTCCCTCCTCTATCAGCTTCCATGTGTCCGTCCAGACCTGTTCCTTGTCTTGTTTCCTCTTCTTTCCTAGTACAGTTATGCAGGTTTCTTTCTACATAGTTTTCAAAGAGTCCCAGTGTTTTCGACGCAGGTTCCTTCGGGATGTTGCTCAATGTCTCCTATTTTGTCTTGATGGCTGAAGTGAAGACATCATTTGTAGTTTTGTCCTTCAGTTTGTGTTCTGGGTGTTGAACTTGAACTGTGGTCTATCATCACCAACTTCTTTCAAGGCTTTCAACTTGATTTGGAAGGCCCTTTGCATTAGATAGTCTGATGGTCTGAACTTACATGTGCTCCTCTTCTTGATCTTGTGTCCAGTAGGGTGCATCTCCATTTTCTTCACATTGAGATGAAGTCGATTTTAGTGTGCCCTGGTGTCTGGTGAAATCCCTGTCACTGCCATATGAATATCCTTGTGAATATCCTTGTACACACTGCTTCCAATCACCAAATTATTAAATGGGCATAAGTCTGCAAACAGTCATCCATTCTCATTCATCATTTCACCGAGTGCTTCCTGACCCATGTTTTGTTCTGTTCCTGTGTTGTCTGCTCCCAGTTTGGCATTCATGTTGCCCATTAGATTTTTGATGTCGCCAACTGGAGTCTTGTCCAGCACTGTTTGTATTTGTCTGTAGAATCGCTCCTTTTTCTCTTCATCTGCATTATTTGTAGGTGCATAGCGTAGCATTGTATGATTGTGACCTTCCTTCCTTCCTTTTGACTTGAATTTTGCTGTCATGATCCTGATGCTGGAGGAGATTGGTTCCCACTGCATGAGAGTGAGCCTTTGATGCTCTTGGGAGGGGGACATCATGATAGCCACTTCACTCGACAACTCAGTGTGCTCGTGGTTGTCGTTCGGGTGACAATATCGGAGTAGATTGTTGACTTTCCATTTGACAGTTTGGAGAGTCCACTTCCATTCCACCTGCTTTCGCAGATTCCTAGCACTTCAGTGCGATACCTTCTCATCTTTGCAATCTGAGCAGCCGTGCTAAGTTCAAATATGGTGCGGACATTTCATGTCCCCACGTTTACTTTTGCTTTCACCGAGAGAAAACACATTGGCCAATTGGCTTTTCAAAGGCTTTCACCAACCACAGTCATTTCGTCTCCCCGATTCCAGAAAGGAATAAGTTTGTTTTTATTTTTGATATTTTCTTTGTGCTTTGAAGTTTCTTCAGCGATTGGATTAGTCTTACGGGGTAGGGTTGCCCGCCCCATGCCCAACCTTCCCTCTTTACTAGGGCTTAGGACCGGCTAGTGAACTAGTTAACCAGGCGAGGTTGAGTCGTACTAATGCTTCGGTCTAATTAGTATATGCATACCTCATGTAAGTGGAGCCCGTGAGTGGTCAAGATAGCTACACTAAATTACCACTCTTATCTGTTTTGATTCGAATAAACCTGTCATTCGGTTTTTTTCCAAGTACTACTTTAATGATGGGTCCTGAACTAAGCATCTATTGGGAAATAATTACATTGGATTTAAAAATAAGAGCAGCGTATTGGTTGACCTTGTATTAGTAATTGCAGCAGATATCTCTGTGAATACTTAGTTTCTGCTTGAATACTTTCATTAAATGAGTTGACATCACTTGAGTAAACAGTTCCAGTTCTTAATTTCTCCCCGGGGGAAATTCAGGTTCACACTGAACTAATTTTACCGTGAATTTTGGACTGTATTGTGGTCTCCGAGATAACCAATCTTAGAGGCAGAAAAAACGGAACATCGCCACTGAAGTCATCATTAAGTATACGGAATACTACTATGAGATCACCTATTTTCCTACCATAAGAGCAGAAACAGATTCAGTATATCTAAAGGCTTCTCAGGTTAGCCTATTATCCAGCCTTTGGCAACTCCCAAATGTATAAGCACCTTTGCTAAAGTGTGGACCGACAGTCCAAATGCAGTACTTCAGATGACATCTGTTTCAGGTATTGGGTCCAGGAGATATCTTGGCCAAAGCCATTTAAAGCTATTCGTAGAAACCATATTAGACAAAAACCTTCTACTGAAGCTGCACTGTAGTGTGGGCGTCTTCACATCTTTTCTTGCAGTCGAACCTGAGTGTTTCGGTTTGATGACTAAGGGTACTGGTGTTTTATGAACCGCATGCTGGTGACATTTACTATGAAGAGTATGCATTACATTTTATCTAGAATTGATTTCTAAGTGTTATCCGTTAGACCAACCGACCGGTTCATCGATTTCTTGTGGTATGCGCCCGTTCGCATTGCTGAGAATAACTCTAAACGTTTATGTCGTCTGTAAATAAAATCACTGAAGATCCAAGCATTTTCATTAATTCACTAACATCCAGCAAAAAAGAAGAAATCCAGGATTTTTTCTTGAGGAACCCACTTCTCACAGGTTTTTACTCAAACTCTCACTTTTTACCTTCTATCGTACAGGAAGTTCCCGTTAATAGCCTGTGCCTGGGCTCATCCTCCGTTCTGAGCCGTTGGAAGTAGTCGAAAAGTCCGTGTATCTAAGTAGTTGTGTTAGTGCTGGTGGAGGTGTGGATGGTAAAATTTCCAGCCGCAAATCAAAAGCCAGAGTGACATACGTCAGTCTGGACCACCTTTGTCTCTCTCGTGACGTTAGTCTGACTGAAAGATCATGTTTACAACACTTCGGTGCGAGCAGTTATCTACACCTGTGAAACCTGGCCTCTCCGAGCTGAGGGTATGCGACGACTGTGTGTTCGATCATCGTTGTCTCTGTAGGGTTGATCATATCCGGTGGCAACATCATGTAAGCAGTCCTTAGGTGGGACAGCGTGCGTTTGGGCTTGATGGAGATCATCATTCAATAGGTGAAGTCATTTGGAAACACTGTCTTTGATGGCTTGGGCATGTGTTATACATGTCGTCCTGTCAGCTTCCACGCCGTCCATCATTCGCTAAGCCTGGGACTGGATGAAAGAAGCTTGGGGGTGGTCAGTGTATGATGTTGCACCGAGTGATGAAGGGTAGTTGTATGGGGTTAGGATCTGTTGGTTCATCACGACTCCATGTGTGGGGTCCGAGAGACCATGCAACCCAGTGACTTGAGACGTTATCAGATGTGACCAAGAATTGACACCAGTAGTGGTCATGCTGTAGCTTCCTCCTATCTTCTGCTGCTGGAAAGCAATGGATTTTTCGTTTCGGATGTACCTTACTAGACTGACTTTCTAATCTTATTCTTATTGTTTTATTTTTATCCACTTCCCTTCACTGTATATCATCACAGTGTTGTCATATTATTTTGTGTGCCTTATTTCTTGGTGCTGTTGCTGTACGACGTTTGTATTATAATAATGATAAATATCTAAACCTTGGTAGGTGGTGCGACGTCCTAACCCACTACCCACTGGTTGAAAGTCAACTGACTGAACCAATGAGCCACCAGCCATAGTACAAAAGTGTTTTTGAGAAAAATTTAAATTTCGCTAAATATCTATCAATTTCTCTCAAGACTACAGAATTACATCCTCTTGATAAGTTTTGATATTCTCTGGTTGTTTTAACGTGGGATAAGTGAATTGTTTATTCCCCCCCCCTCATATTTGTTGTCGAAAGACTTGGAACACCTGTGCCATTTAAAAGTGAATAACAACAAAGTAGAGCTATGCAAGATAACTGGTCCATTACTGACCATAATAGCAGTAAAAGAAATAAATTAAACAGGTAGAGTTCACGTATTTCTTATTTCCGATATTCAAACTCATCTTACTGTTTATTCAAGGGACTTCATCTAGATTACCACTGGCTTTCGTTCTGAACATTGTCCGATAAAGTATCAGACCAACAAACTGTTGAATTTTGTCATGACTTACCAACATATGCCAGCCTCATGCAATTAACTATCTTGCCTTTCACAATGTCGTGTTGTGTATACATTTAGTTCACCAATTAACATGATGTTGAACAGTTGAAAACATTTGTCTATAGAATCTTAAAGTGAAACACTTTGACAACCAATGATATTGCTGTAATTTCCCATTTAAAATGACTGTTAGGTTTACGTCTTATTATTCACAGCATATGTAATATTGTACTCTAATTACTATTATAGTTAACTATCTTAATTATAGATGATTGGAAGCATTACAAAATCCGTACTGTCTTATGGAGTACCCAGGACCGTGGGAAGTATAATACCTTGTCGTCAGGCGAATACATTAGCAGATGACATAAACCAGGTAGACGTGAAATAATTTATCTTTTCATTGCAATCTGATTTACTGTTTATTCTCTAGATAGTCCTGTTAGGTAGAGTAAACTCTGTACATTTAAATGAAAAATCTGATAAAGCTTATGCATCTATTGGTTTAATAACAAAAAATACCTATAAGTCTTCGACTGGTTATTCTTCTAAATTTGCCTATCACAAGTAAGCTTTTCAATTCGTATTGTTTCATTGGGATGTTTATTTCTACTATTTAAACCTCATATTGTACAAGTGAGCGGTTAATATTTGATTCGTAAGAGATTTAGAAAGTGTCAATAGTCCAGTCTAGAATCTATTGCCCAAAAAATATGCAGTAGAAGAAAGTAGAGATGGATTGGACATACGCTGAGAAGACCGACTGGGAACATCATTCACCAGGCCGTCGAGTGGAACCCAAAAGGGGAAACGGCGAGTTGGTCGTTTGAGTCGAAGGTGACTTGGAGGAGATGGTGTCGGGAAGAAATGAAAGCTTGTGGGCAGTGATAGAGTCAGGTTGAAAGGACTGCAGAGAAGAAAATGAAATGGAACCTAATAATAATAATAATGATAAAAATCTAGACTCATTACTTATTATTGTTATTATTATTATCATTATTATTATTATTATTAGCCCCTTGGGTTCCTAATGGAACATAGGGCTTCACTAGCACGCCTCCAGTGAACTCTGTTCTCTGAAATCTTTCGAACCTGGCTCCACGACAGCCCAGAAGCTCTCATTTCCTCCTCGCACGATCTCCTCCATGTCACCCTCGGACGCCCAACTCGTCGCTTCCCGTGGGGATTCCACTCGAGGGCCTGGCCTGACGCGTGATGTCTCCAGTCGGCCTTCTCAGTATATTCCCAATCCATCTCCAATTCCTTCCACTGCATATTTGTTGGTGATAGGTTCTTGGTTAGTTCGTTCCCAGAGCTCCTTGTTGCTTATTCTTTCTGGCCATCTGATATTCGGTAGCGAGCGTAGGCAGTTGTTGATGAATGTCTGTAGTTTGTTGGAAATCCCTTTCGTAACGCGCCAAGTCTCTCAACCATACAGAAGCACTGATTTGACGTTGGTGTTGAAAATCCGGATCTTGTTCTTTGTGCTGAGTGCAGAAGATCTCTAGACTCATTACAGCTCATTGTTAATTGAAATGGTTGATGTTTGTGTTACTTGTGCTCATTTCAACTTGAAACTATCTATTGAAAGATGAATATGAAAGGGGTCTTAGGATGGTCAGATCAGATTGCAAAGCCAGCCAATGAAGTCACTGCTTCTTACGTAGCGGGAATGGTCTAACCCTTTTCGTTTATACTCTATAGATTGTAAAAGTAGGTAGTTAAAAGTGTTCAAGTTTCATTTGGGAGTTTGTGGGGACCTAGTGATTTTTTAAACTTGGTATTCCAACAATATTATATTATTATAATAATATTCCAACAAATAGTTCCATTTATAAACTTCGACAAAACAATAAGAAGACGTAAATTGTCTGAAACGTGTAATGTATCTGCGCAACACATTTCGAACTATCTGATCACACATGTACTTGTCATAGGTATTTATATAAAAACTCATGAAGATAAGGGGTGAGAAAATAAAAAGAGGTCAGGTAGGAAGGCTGAATTAAAGTCCGAATAACAATGAAAACCAATAGAGCGAAAAATAATAGTACATCGAACTTGGTTTTCAATAGTTGGATTTACCAAGGAAGATTTAATGTGACAACGAGTTGTTCATGAACACACAAAGGTGGTTTCAACTCTCTAATAGCTAAGGCTTCAACAAATTTAAGGATCCCTCCCCAACATGTTTTGTAAATAGGTGTAAAGGAAGTAGCCATATCAATCCTGTGGCCTGTCTCAATGATATGTTTGGCGATCGAAGAACTTGGACGTCTGCTACCAACATTTATCTGTTCAGGTGATTTAATTTGCTTCTGAAGCCACTTTGGAATATGTTCCGAGGCTCTTACCTGCATGGATCTATTAGTCCTCCCTATGTATGTGTCACCACACGTACATTTGAATTGGTAGATACAATGGTATGTGACATTGTCGTTCACATCCCGGGGGGTGGTTGGGGGAATATACGGGCTTCGTGGTTTCAGTTACTCGAACCCTGGCTGTATAGTAAGTCCTTCTAACAGCAGCGTTAAGTCTCTGCTTAAGGATTGCACTATGAGAGTCACCTTGGTACGTAAGGCTGATGATGACATCCTTCTTTGGGACAGGCTGAAGGTCTAGTTTTGGCCCTCTGATAATTTCGTTCTGCCTGATAAATGTTGATGGATAGTTGTTTTCCAACAGAATATCAGTCAGTGTTCCTCTTTCGTCTTCTAAAGTATCCTCTGTACATATTCGTTGAATTCTGCTGAATAAGCACCTTACTAACGTTCACTTGTACTGAACTGGGCAAAAGCTATGGTAATTCAGATATTGCCCTGTCCATTCAGGTTTTATGTAGATAGACCGTTTTATGGATCCATCCTGCCTTCGACTAGTTAATATATCCAGGAACGGCAAGCAGTCATCTTTCTCTCTTACACATGTCAAGGATATGCTATTCTATACTTCGTTCAGTCGGTTTAGAATTGAAGTAGACTGATTTGCGTTTTCACAAATGATCAGGATATCATCAACATACCTTCGATACAGATTGGCTTGGTCTATTAAGTTCTTGACTAAGTTGTCCACGTGTGACATAAAAATGTCGGCGAGGAGGGGACCTAAAGGACTTTTCATAGCGATACCATCAACCTGGCGGAAATATTCACCCTTAAAGGTGAATTTAATATTGCTTGTACATAAAAGTAACAGCTCTTTTAGATGATCCAAAGAAATGGGTATTGGAAACTTATGCACAGAAACATAATCACATAAAATGTCAATTGTCTTCACCAAAGGGGCATTGGTAAATAATGAGTTAACGTCAAATGAACATATAAATTTACTCTTTATGTTGACATCCTCAAGGCATTTAATTACTTCAAATGTATATTTTAAGGAATACTTATAGAATTGCTTCTTAATGGGATCCAATAATTCCACTAGCCACTGGGCAAGCTTATGCGTTAGCGACTTACACATTGACATTATGGGATGTAAGGGGTTGTTGGGTTTGTGTACTTTAGGCAAACCGTAAAGAAGTGGGAATCGGGATTCATTGGGTTTCAGTAGGGCGAATCTTTGTCTCGTAGTGACGTACATTTCGAGCAGTTTTACTAGATTGGCGGTCACAGTTCCCTGTAACAATTGTGCGTCTTCTGAAGAACAATCTTTAGTGAATTTATTTTGGTCTTCAAGAATCGATGACATTTTTCACTTATACTCGATTTTGTCTATGATCACGACACATGAGCCTTTGTCAGATCTGAGGATAAAAATATCGGGGTTCTCTCGTAGTTCCTTCATAGCTCTGAAATGTTCTAGTGAAACTGCTCGAAATGAACGCCACTACGAGACAAAGATTCAAATGTACGTGTGGTGACACATACATAGGGAGGACTAATAGATCCATGCAGGTAAGAGCCTCGGAACATATTCCAAAGTGGCTTCAGAAGCAAATTAAATCACCTGAACAGATAAATGTTGGTAGCAGACGTCCAAGTTCTTCGATCGCCAAACATATCATTGAGACAGGCCACAGGATTGATATGGCTACTTCCTTTACACCTATTTACAAAACATGTTGGGGAGGGATCCTTAAATTTGTTGAAGCCTTAGCTATTAGAGAGTTGAAACCACCTTTGTGTGTTCATGAACAACTCGTTGTCACATTAAATCTTCCTTGGTAAATCCAACTATTGAAAACCAAGTTCGATGTACTATTATTTTTCGCTCTATTGGTTTTCATTGTTATTCGGACTTTAATTCAGCCTTCCTACCTGACCTCTTTTTATTTTCTCACCCCTTATCTTCATGAGTTTTTATATAAATACCTATGACAAGTACATGTGTGATCAGATAGTTCGAAATGTGTTGCGCAGATACATTACACGTTTCAGACAATTTACGTCTTCTTATTGTTTTGTCGAAGTTGATGGTCGTCATGGACTGACAACAGTTAGAGAAACACAGAGAACCTTGGAGTACTGGACAGCACGTTGGCATCTATTTACTGACTGCAGTGTTTGAAGTTCCTGGGTTCGATTCCTGGTGGGGTCGTGGGTCTGTACTGCTGAGAAGTCTCATGCTGCGAAGACATCTGTCGGATGCCCTCAGGCTTCCAATGTTTCTTTCACTGATATCTATTTAAGTTTAAACATGGAAATCATTATTTTTCGTTTAACTATCCACTGTGACGTTAGACTTAGGGTCGTTGGTCTGGGTAGTCTCCTTCCACTCAGTGGGCTACGCGTTACCGTCTCACGCCAACTACTGAGGTCTGGGCCACCAGTTAGATACAGTGCATTGAGTACCTTTTAGCTATGAAATTGAATTATTGCTATACTCAACATTAAAACAAGATTACGTAATATAAGTGACAGTTAACGTGGGTATCACTCTGGCATCATTTGCATCCAGAATTTTGATTACTGTTCTATTTTCGAGGCTTTAACAAACACGTCAATATCTAATTCACAAGGAATAGATCAGGTTTCCTTCGGGTCGTGGATGCATCGATCATCTGTTCACCTTTCCTCAGTTATTCAAATACCTTTACATATACAGCAGGCCAGTGACCGTAGTGTTTATTTGATATTAGGACTGATTTCGATTCCGGTGATTTTATTCTGAAAGCTGTTTTATTGCAAATTTGCACATTTTTTACTTGTGTTAGAATTCGATAGTTAAAAGTGGTTTTTTAAGCAAAGCAACAAAAATAGTATCAATTCATGAGGCATCATTCAATTAAAAAAAAATGTGATGGATAGTCAAGATTGATGAGAATATGACTAAAGTTATATGGAGATGAATAAGTTTGGATAAGCGGTTTCGTTGCATGACAAAATATTTGGAAACTGAAGTGTGGTCAGAAAGAAGATAGAAGCAAGAGTGCACAGTAAGTTACGTAAGAAGTGAACAATGTAAAAAGGAGGTGATTTCAAAGACTAAAAATTGAGACCATGAAAGTAGAAGGGGCTGGACAATCTTCTCTTGCGTACAAAGTTCAGGCTTCTCTATATGGATGGTAAGAACTTCGGTGACCCAGAGATTAACAAGATGTACAGCCTTTGGAAGGTTCCTTTTCACTTTATAAACGACTTTCAACGAGGAAGTTCTCGAGATAGAGTGACCCGTGTTCACGATATGTTCTATTATAGCACATCTTACTCCTTTGTAACCACACGGGATAGTGCTCATAAACCCCTTTGGATAACAGTCGCAGTGAGCAACTTATATACTTGTTCAGCTTCCTCTCCTTTCATGGTTTCGATTTTCAGTTTTTGGAATCACCTCCTTTTTACACTGCTCACTTCTTACGTTAGTGACTGCCCATTCTTGTTTGACTGTCGGTATCCAGCATATTGCCATGTAAGCTATATTTGTCGTGATTTGCATTAGTGGCAATTATTTCGTCTTGTTTCTAGGCTCTTTCTGATCACATGTAAGTTTCCCAGTATTTTGTCATTTTACGAAACTTCTTATCCAAACTTATTATTGGTATTATTGCTTGTATTATACCGTCGTTGATTGGACCAAATTAATCGGTCTCTTTTGGCATATGGACTGCGCGGGTGCCTCGATATTGCCTTTCTTTTAATTATAGTAATGATGGAGCGATCGGTCCCGGGTTCGAATCCCGGTGGAAGCAGCATCACTCACTGGGAGGCAGGTACATCCAACTGACGAGTCCCAAATAGGATGGAATGCCCATTCTTGATTCCACTTTTAGCCACTATCCATCATTGCTTAACTTATTATTGTCTATAAAACTTCAGTCGTATTGTGATCAGTCTTCACTATTCATCACGGTTTTTTTAATTTTAATGGTAGCTTATGAATTGACATGATTTTTGTTGGCATGCTTGACAAAACACTTTTAACTATCAAACCGTAACGCAAGAAAATATGTTTCAACTTGCGATTTTACAGCTTTAAGAATGAAATTGCCGATGAGAGACTCTTCACTGAAATACTTTCTTTTCCTTCATTTCCTGATGGATATCTTTCACACATTGAAAACCAACAATTACCCTGCGACAATAAATGAACTCAATTACTTTGATTCATTGGAAAGGACTCTTCTCTGTGCTTGTCTGTTAGGAGTCTGTCTATGTAAAGCCTATCAACATTGTGAGAGTCACACAATGAAATTAGGCAGGGTTTTTCGATTTCACCATTCTTCTTCAACTTTTTCATCTATGCTATTCTTGAGACAAGTCCTAAAGAGGTGCATGTTTGCGTCGATCTTCTACCAGGATAAAGTTTTCTCGACGGGAATATGCGAATACTTTGTGGCGAAATACTGGTTACTCCATTCGCAATTAGTCAGTTCACGAATAATGTCCGTAAGTATGGCATGTATTTCTCATTGACTAAGGGTAAAGTACTTTTGTGGAATTCGCACAAGCCTCACTTCAGCTGTTGGAAATTGTCACAGTTCATAAATCTGAGTAGTTGTGAGGTGCTGCCAGAATTATGACCATGGGATTTACACTTGTGTGATTAAAATCAGAACAGCATATACCAATCTTATCCGCCTTTGATGCCATCTGACGTCAGCTTGACTTCAAACATCTGATGTTCAACGCATTGGTGCCGGCAGTTCTGTTGTACACTTGGCTCCTTTGGTCTGAGAAATTTTTTTAATCCTTTGTGTTGGGTCGCCATTTTTTTCTGTAGGCGTGCTAACGTCCAGCGCAGATATCAGTTGTATAATTCTGAGGAACGCTAACGTGTGTTTGCCCGTAATACAAATTGTCATTCATTAATTGAAGTCGCATTCAGTAGCTTCAACGTGCATCATGAATATTTTCTCAGTGACTCATACCCTTCACCATTTACCAACCTTATGGCTGATTGGAAAAAGTGAAGAGGCAATGACTAGTGTATGATATCATTGTGGGATGAATGGTAGTTGTTTTGGATTAGTATCTGTTTGCATCTCACGACATCCTGGGTGAAGTCCGGCAGATTATATGATAAAATAGTTTGAGATGACATCAGATATGGTTCAGTAGTGAAACGGATGACGATTATGTTGTATTCTTCTATCCTCTATCCATGAAAAGTATTAAAATGCAATAAAAAGCTCATCTCATATGTATCTTTTGGAAATGTTTGACTATCAGTCCAATGATTTTGCTTCCTTACACCTTTTATATAGTTATTATTACATTTTATTTCTTGATGCATAGATTGTACCAAGCTTGTGTTTAGTATGAACAAAATAGATGATATTCTCTGCATAAAATTGTAAATGATTAGGAAAGTGGATAAAGCATGTACGTCAACTAGTTGTTAACCATTTCTTCATGATGGCTAACAGTGGAATGTAATTTGTACAATTTATGCGATTCGCAAGCCCCTATTTCAATGCATCTGTATCCAAGTGTATGTTTACTCTTACTGATTTTCAAGCTCTTAGCTTGAAACAACAGTATTATCCACTAGGCTACGGAGTCATGGTGGCCATCTCTTTTACAAGTTGCGTCACTTCTCATGTGTGTATACTTGCAGTTTTTATTTTTCTGAACTCAGTAGATCGGTTTTGTGACTCGGTGGATAATATTCTGTTTGTAGCTAAGGATGGTGGGTTCAAGTAATAGGTGTTGGTCCATCCAGCTGAGGAACCGTTCATAGGATGAAACATGCATCCTAAATTTCACTGCTAACAATAGAGCGAAATCCAAGGCCAATATTGAGGTGTCCGTTGAAGCAGTCCATATACCTCTAGATTACTGTAGACACTAGTTAAATAAGCAATCTCAAGGCATTTTAATTGTACTAAAATTTTTCTAACCTAACTCATTTCTTTTTTTTTTATCTGTTTTCTGTAAAATCTGTACAGTGTGTATGTTTTCAGTCAACCGTTATTTAACAAAATCCGGAATTTAGTGAAAGGTGATAGATTATGCGTCACTGGGTGTCTAACTTCCTACTTTGGTGCAAATGGTCAATGGCGATTTTCTGTTACAGCCAATTCAGTTAGCCCATATATTATGGAGTCGACAAATGATGCTATCGAAGGTGTTGAAGAGGAAGATATCAACGATGAGGCAAATGTTGATGAAGTGGCGTATGAGGTTTTAGTCTATAATGTCTCAGAGGACACTAATAATAATACTACAGTCAGTCCTAAAGTAATTGTAACAAAAGAAGATCATATTGAAAATTAGTATTGTATTTGTCCCTGGCTAGCGTAATATCTCCACACATACAAACATTATCAAATAAATGCATACACGTATATACACAAACAACATCTGTATATATTTCAAGTGCCAAGTTTGTTCTTCATACATCTTACATCCCTTTGAAGGTTAAAATAAACTTGTCGAATTGTATTTTCTGTCTTTATGAATTGTGTAGAATACCAAAGAAGTAATCACCATATGATAGCGAAGATAAGCGTCCGAATGCTAGTGTTGGTTGAATTTCGTTCAATTGAACATGTCCACTTTTTATTTTGTGGAATCGAAGCTAACGAAATCTCAGCTTGGACACACAAGGCTCGTTTGGCATTTGTCAACCTGCTACAACTCTGGTACTGACTGACGGGACATACGACTATGATGTGCTGTTAGTCCCCTTTGTTCTGTTATACAGTTGTAAGACATGACTGTTTAAAGTAGATGATACGGAACGGTTCAAAGTTTTTGATCACAGGCGGCTTCGTAGCATTCCTCACGCTTGGTGGAATCACTATGTTGGCAGTGTAGAGGTCTGGCGAAGAGTACTGGGTAAGAAAGTCAAGTCAGTCATCCACGCCAAGGCACCATCTATCGTGACATGCAGGGCTAGGAGGAGTTGAATTAGGTTGCAAGAAAGCCCAGAGTAGTCAGATGAAGTTGTGACACCAGTTAGTGAAGTCTCTGATCGTCTATCGGAGTCGTGTATAGGAGGTGCAAACTACTTGACTGAGGTCCCCTAGACCGTAAGAATCAGTGGTTGAGGAGTTCTGGTGAAATGATTTAAAATAGGTCACAATGGCATAGATTTGTGTTCACTCTTTGGTGTTTTCTAAAGTCAATATTTTAACTTACCATTATCTCCTCTTATTCACCTCTGTTTATTTTGATATCACTTTACTTCTATCCACTTATTCTTTGCATGCTAATGTCAAATGTGACAACTTGCACCGATCCACTTGTATGTAAGATTCAATGTGGATTTTATCTGTCTATGTAGTGAATGTTTACGGTAGAAAAAACGAATCGTGATCATCTTTAGCTTAGATTTGTGAGTATATTTGACAAAGTTTCTACTTACCATCTTCCATGATAAGTAGGACTCCATCTGGGTACTTACAACACAATTATTTTACTATACACAGCACCACTTTATGCGTGATATGTGTTCGTATTACCTAGAGTGTTATTGCCGAATGGAGCCAGGTTCAGAAGACAGCAGAGAACAGAGTGAAATAGTGACGTCCTACTGAAACCGTATGTTCCACTAGGAACCTAAAGGACAAATAATAATATAATAATATTGCAGAATGACCAAGCAGCATGAATTTACCATAATGTGTATTTTTTTTTATCATCGTCTATTGAATGCTAATGAGAAAGAAATTGTGGAAAACGGCCCAGTCAGTTATCGATTTCGACAAATAAGGATTGGAGCTTATTCAATCTATGTTGTATGTGTAACTTTCAAGTTACGAATAAAAGTTTCACAAACAATTCACATCCCTCTCTGCATGATCAAACAGTTGGTCTGGTACGTGGATAATGTATTCACAACGTCAGTTCCTCTTACACTGTACAACGTCAAACAATATTTTAGCAGTAAAAACTACCTGCTAACTAACTAAATATCCAAGATAATTTGTAGATATATTAAGCGAAATTTTGTCACAAGTTGAATATCATGAAAAGCAATTTATCGAACGTTTTGGTTGAAATATCGTTGGTAGCCTTGAAAGGTGTTGTCGTCTTTTTTTGTAGCTTCACGTTTTAAATGCGCTGGTATTAACCGACTATGAGGGAACGAGATCAGATCTGCTGGTTTATTAATTTGTCTAAACAAAATTTTAAACTTCATTGAACTCCCATGTTCGTTTCTATCAACCCTCTAATGAGGATTTTTACAATTTTTTATTAAAAATTCTTTCTCTGTGGATTGAACTGTGAACAGTACTACTTCCCCTTTAAACAGCATAGGCTTTTTTGGGAATACAAATCAATGTCGAAAATAGGATGATAAATTTGCAAGTGATTGACAAATTGCATGGTCCACGTTGACATTCTTCACAGTTAAGTAGCTTTTCAACTGCCCATTTGTGGTACCAGTTAACAAGGTTTCTGTTTGAAGCTATTCAACCAAGATCACAGTGTGTGATCTCTGGCATAAAAGTACCATGAATAAGCGAAATATCCTACTAATTATCTGACTGGTGAAATCTACCTACCAACCTAACCAGTTTTTGGCTACTCAAGGCATTTAGTATTAGTAAGCAAATCAATATATGTTACTACTTTGCAATTTCATTTGACCCACAGGCAACTCCCAGTTGTTGATAAGTCGTCTATCAACTATTTCTTCATTATCATGATTAAAGTAAGATTCACGAAGTTCACATCGTTCGTCGAAATAGGGCCTACATGACTAGCTTCAACACCACGCTTTAGGTGCCACAAACCTTTATCAACCTCATTCAACAACAGCTATATGCTACATGCCAAGTGATCCACAATGGAATGCTCAGTGACGCCTTTGAAGTGAAGACAAGGTTGCCCACTATCCATTACCGATGATCTTCCTGATTGTGGTTGACTGGACTGCATCATGCACCAAACCGTGAGGAGCGAGGGTGATATGGAGGAAATAGTGTGAGTAAGAAATGAAAGCTTCTCGGCAGCGATGAAGTCAGGTCGAAAAGATTGCAGAGAAGAGAATGAAATGGCGATGTGCTAGTGAAGCCGTATGTTCTACTAGGAACCCAAACGACTAATAATAATACAATAGCTAGCCTGTAACGTGGTGCAATCATGCATTGCTTTTGGTCACTGAACTGCATAGCAACAAATAAGCAACAGTTAAACCCTCACCATCGACATCTCTCCGGGGTACCCTCTGACGTATAAATATCTGTTTCATTTTGAAGAACTGCACCCTGTTACTTCATGGGTCCAACCACGTCTGGTTAAATAGTTCATTAGTTACTAGCCGGTCCTAAGCCCGGGTATACAGGGAAGTTAGGCATACACCTAGCAACCCTACCCCGTAAAACAAATCCAACCACTAAGGAAACTTCACAGCACAAACAAAATATAAAAAATAATAACAAAATTATTCCTCACTGGAATCGGAGAGGCGAAATGATGCCGGTTGGTGAAAGCCTTCACGAAGCCAATCGGCCGGGCCGATGTATCTTCTCTCCCCGATGAAAGCGAAAGTAAACGTGAGGACATGGAATGTCCGCACCATGTTTAAACCTAGCAAGGCAGCCCAGATTGCAAAGAAGATGAGAAGGTAAAGCATTGAAGTGTTAGGAATTTGCGGAAGCAGATGGAATGGGAGTGGGCTCTAAAAACTGTCAACTGGAGAAGATATTGTCACCCAGACGACAACCACGAGCACACTGAGTTGTCGAGTGAAGTGGCTATCATGATGTCCCCCTCCCAAGAGCATCAAAGGCTCACTCTCATGCAGTGGGAACCAATCTCCTCCAGCATCAGGATCATGACAGCAAAATTCAAGTCAAAAGGAAGGAAGGAAGGTCACAATCATACAATGCTACGCTATGCACCTACAAATAATGCAGATGAAGAGAAAAAGGAGGAATTCTACAGACAACTGCAATCAACACTGGACAAGACCTCGCCGCAGTTGGCGATATCAAAATTCTAATGGATTGGGTGACACGAATGGCAAACTGGAAGCGGAAAACACAGGAGGAGAAGTAACCATAGGTTGAGAAGCACTCGGTGAGGTGATGAACGAGAATGGAGAACTGTTTGCAGAATTCTGTGCATTCAGTGATTTGGTGATTGGAGGCCAGGTAGGCAGTGTGTCCAAGCACAAGGATATCCACAAAGCGAGTGACAATGGAGTTGATTTCACCAAACGCTAGGACACACTGAAAATCATATCAAATTCATCTCAATGTGAAGAAAATGGAGACGCAGTCAGCCTACTTGACACAAGGTCAAGAAGAGGAGCAGATGAAGGTTCACACCACTCACTGTCTTGTACAAGGAACCATCAAAATCAAGTTAAATGCCTTCAAGGAAGGTGGTGATAGACCACAGTTCAAGTACAGCACTCGGGAACTGAAGGACGAAACTACAAGGGACATCTTCACGGCAGCTATCAAGACAAAATGGAAGATATCGAGCAACATCCCCGAAGATACCTGTGTGGAAAAACACTGGGACTGTTTGAGAGAGATGTGGAAAGAAACCTGCCCAACCGTATTAGGAAGGAAGAAGATTGAAGATAAGGAGTGGATCTCAATGGATACATGGGAGCTGATAGAGGAGTGAGAGGAGGATGGTGAAGCAGAAGATGAACCAGTGCAGTGCAAGGATGCACAACGACAAAGAAGTGAAGAAGAGTGAGCGCAAATACAAAAGACACTTCTACGACACATTGGCAAGTGAAGCAGAACAGGCTGCAGGTACGAGAGATAGACAGAGACCTGACAACATTGTATCAAATAACCGGGCTACTATCAGGGAGGGGAGAGATGAACACAGATGAAAGCAATAAAAGATGGAGAAGGAAATTTAATTACGAAAGAAGAGAAATAAAGGAAACGATGGGCTGGCCGACCACTTCAAGAAGCTCTTGAATCGACCACCACCACCTGCACTTCGTCCAAAAATATCACCTGCATTCACAGAGCTACAAGTGAACATAAATCCTCCAACAAAGGTCGAAGTCCTGAGCTCCATAAGGCTACTGAAATGTGGGAAAGCAGCAGGACCAGATGGAATGCATCCAGAAGCACTGAAAACAGACGCAGAGACAACAGTGGACATGCTCACACCACACCACTATTGCAGAAGATGTGGATGGAAGGGAAGGCACCTGCCGACTGATTGGAAGAAGGGTTACCTTGTCAAACTGCCGAAGAAGGACGACCTAAGTCTTTGCAAGAACTGGTGTGGAATCACACTCCTGTCCACCCAAAGCAAGCAAAATATTATGCCGCATCATCTTGGAGAGACTAAAGGATGCACTGGATTCAAAACTACCACCCGAACAGGCTGGCTGGTTGGATTCAGTTCAGGAAGTACAAATTGCAACTCTAGGCTACGCATCGCATCGCATCATCATAGAACAGAGTATAGAATGTCAGTCAACTCTCTACCTCACCTCAACTTCATCGATGTTGAGGAGGCCTTCGACAGCGTCGA